CCGCCTTTTTTTTTTTTTTTTTTTTTTAAGTCAGTTACGTGATACAAATTATTGCAAATGAAATGAGTGTGTGAATATATCTCTACATGAAGTTTTTACGAGAATATTATCAGTCAGCGTATAATTTTTTATTTTATTCTTTAATTATTCTCTCAGAACTGTTCTTCTCTGTTCGGTTCTAACTTTCAGCCAAGGTTTTATTTCCTTTTCTGAATCGAGGCTGTCTCTCACTCCTATACAACAAATATCCCAAAATCTTCTATCACCTAAAAACAAATCCAAAGACAGCTCTAGTTATAACATATATCGTATAATTATAACCTAATTTTCTATCAGTGATTAGTGACTACTGTAGCTGATTTTGTGTTGATTGATTTATTTCCTACTGTTAGGTTAGGTAACAACTACACATGTTCTTGTAATGCTATCTCTGCTTCCATATTTCTAAGTTTTGGTGATACAACTACTGTGCTGTTTGTACTTTTGTTTGCACCAAATTCATAGCTAGTACCACATGATAATCAATTACTCAGTTGAGTCCTGGATTTACAAAGCTATGTGCATATGCCATTTCAAAAAGGCCTTGATATTGTCCTATATATCTGTCTTCATTTCTCAATTTCAGGATTGCTAGTCATTTGTGAAGACAAAAGAGTTCCTTAATTTGGCATTTAATTCTAAATGTAATATTTGCTGATGGTCCTGAAAAGAGTTACTAAAGATGGCATATCACCGCTCAAGGGAATCAATTAAGTTCTCTGGGAGTCTAATCGATCCTGAAAATGCCGAAGACCTCCTAAGGACCAAAACAGGTGGCTACATACTTGTGTCTCATACATCAATGTTGGAATAACCTTCAATGTTGGAATAACCTATAAGATAAAAATTGCTTTCACAAGGAAAAGAAATGACGCAGTACTTCTTAAAAACTTGGTTTTATATCAGTCAATGGAGCTGTTACTAATATTGTTGCAGCCTTGCTGGAAAGCTTAAAAGTGGAAATATGTAGGTGAAAGGAAGAGAGAGAAAGACACAGATAGGAGAGCATAAGAATGGGTTCTTAGCTAAGTTAACAGTTAGAGGAGATTGAGTTGGAATTCGTGCTGTAAGATTAGTTCCTTATACAAGAGTTAGTTTTAAAAATTAAAATATTTTTTTAACACTATAAAATGTGGGGGTATTACGTGAGTAAGTGGATTCACCTTTAGAGTTAAAAGTTATTGAAATTTTTAAATCTGATGTAGCATAACAGGATCGCCAAAAGTTTGTTAAGAACCAAAGAAAGAGTGTACCATTGGAGCTGCTAAGTGATGC